CGGTAGCTTAACATCTTTTGTATGTTTAAAAGTCAAAGTCAAGTTAAAGTCTTTATTTCAAATGTGACACTAGACACTAAACCAAAAACAAAAAAACAAAAAACTGTACCAATTTTTACTATACATAATAGTTACAAAATAGAAAAATCCCATCTGACACTCAAGCTAAAACTTCACAAAGTACTTACATTCCAGCCACCGTGGAAGTCGTGATGGAAGCTGTGGTTGAAGTTATGTACTGTGTCCTTGTTGAGCTCATCCATCCAGGCACGGTGCTTCTCAAGGGCCTGTAGAAAAGGCACAACATTTTATAGTCATTAGTGGCAATTTTTACACAATATATAAATAACTTAGGGGGGCTGCTTGTCAAAAAGGTCTATCTGATCTATGTGGGATCAGACCGAAGGGCTAGAACCCAAATGGCCGCTGGATCGGAAAAGTAAAGTAAAAGTAAAGTATCTATGTGGGATACCATCTTCCAGCTGAAAGACAGATACTCTATGAAACATTTTCCCTTTTGAAGTGAATCAGGTGCACATATTTGAAACTAGGGCAAAGAACCTAGGCTAAAACAGCAACTTAACATGGATTGCCCATACCTCTATAAATAAACTGTTTAAAATGATGAAAAACCTAGTCAGCACAAGAGGCACTGGTGCGATGGTGAACAACCATGTTATAAACACAATAAACATACAGAAGTCATATCCGCAAAGCTAATGACACAGAGTTTAGTGAACGGAGGAAGCTAACTTTACACTAGTTGTGTCTACAGCTTATACCCCAGAGCTGTCTCGGGAGGATGTACATGACTCCTCTGCTAGTCAGAAAGTCTGACAAAAAGGGATATTGTAAGATACTAAAGTGAAGAATCACCATTAAAACCCAGGGCTTTACATCTCCTCACAACCACTTGATAAGCAGAGCTGCCAACCCTACCGGCCACAAAAGTGTAAGATCTTAGCTAAAAAAGTGTAAGATTGTAAAAAAAAGAGTACAATATATCAAACATCACTATTTCGTCGCACACGCAATTAAAACTCGCAAAAATTAAAAGAACAGACCACCACGCAACACGAACTTGGCGGAAGTAGGCCTAAACAAAACGAAATTAGGTGAAAATCAATCAAGGGATGTCACTGTGATGGTGTTTGTGTTATCGTCCAATTGTACATTTGCTGTCATGGGGCCTATTAATAATACATTGGACCGCTGGTGGTCACGAATCGGAATAGCAAACGGAGCGAGATTTTGTTTTGACGATTCATCGGATCAAGCAAAAAGTTGTACAATTCGGCAAAGCGGTGTAAAATCTTACGATCGCTGAAAAAGCTTACAAATACGCTTTTTTGGTGTAAGGTTGGCAGCTCTGGATAAGTATAATGACCATGCCAGATTAATCAGAACAAATACACACCCACAATCTATCTCTCACACATACACTTCAAGCATTTTTCTCGAGCAATTATAGACCCACCCTCAGCTTGCTAGATATTTCAATCTCATCTGAGCCCAGTTCGACAGCAATATTTCAGGGTGCCCTGGGCCAGTCTTCACAGCTAGAGTAACCCTTCAATGACATATCCAAAGAGTAGACCACGTAAGAACCTTCACTTTTAGTGAGATATTATTCTTGAAGTAGTAGACTTTCACTGCACTTTCCCCCATACTGTCCCTTAGAAACATGTCACCAGACAACTAAAGGGTGGAAGATGGAGGCGTGGCTTTGACCCACCTCAATTTTCATGTCTTTGCCATTGCTCTCAGCCTTCAAGGCTTGGATTTCATTCTTCAAGTTCTCGAGATCCTTTCTGTGCTCTGCACCCAGCAACTGAAGCAAACAAAATGAATTCAACTTGAAACTAAAAATTTCAAAGAGCATGTCCTGTTGACAGAGAAAGAGGCAACAAACAAGACAGAAAGAAAGATAGGAAAATTACTTACAATGTAGATGTAAGAATGAAGAAAAAGAGAGAGAGAGAAAAAAAACAACAAAACAACAACAACAAAAAAGCAGTGGGGTTCATTTAATTACTTACCAAGACCTTCCAAATCAGAAAGAGAGAAAGATGATTTCATCTCATCCCAAAGGGAACTTTGGACTACAATGGCATGTGTCTATACACAGTACTCTTCAGAATATCAAATCACCTGAACACTGTATTTGCAATGCATAAAAAACATTACCAAAATATTAACACAAAGACTCGCAGACACAGTTTAACTTGGTATAGTGGAAACCTGAGAGCTCGAGAGGTCTAATTAGCCAGTTTGTGGGTGCACAGACATGCACATTGACACACATGCGAATATTCTTGCTAGTGTATAGTTTAGTTTGGTAACGTTTTTAGTTTTAGTAAGTGTTTTCGGCACTTGCAACACTATAAGGTCATATAAATGCCGAAGAATAGATGATGTGTTACAAGAGAGTAACATACACAAAAAAGGTTGAAGAGATAAAGACGACAGATGTTTGATAGGAAAGAAGGAGCAAACCACA